TTCGAAGAAATAGAGTACACTTGCAACCAATGAATATAGGAAACGAAATAGAAGTTAACAACCCAGAAGAAAACCGCATCCCAAGAGAGAAGTCAACGAAGAAAGAAAGTACCTACGGGGCTTCAGGAAATGTGCGCCGCAGTGAACGAATGAAGACTGCCCCAAAAAGATTTAATGACTTTATTCGTTAATGTTAATGTTTGTATTCTTATTTTTGTCAGTATTTAGTTTTTATCTAACCTCATTCATGTTCATTTGTTAAGTTTATTTTATTTGTATTTCTTAAGAAAGGGAGATGTAGGGTATACCTTAGGTTGGTATTGTACGTTGGTACTGTTGACAGTTGGTTGAGAGATGAATAAACAGTGAAGCATGACGAAAGACGCCGTAGCGAATATAAATTAATACCTGGTCCCCTGCAAAGCCAACCACCACACTAAGTTCTCTTGTCAACCCTCCACGTTCCTCCTTGCCTTATTAACGTCTCCAACTTGGCATACAAGATCCTGGTGAAGAGCTTGTAGCAGGTGTTGAGGCATGTGATCGGCCGATAGTTCTTGGAATCTGACAAATTCCCATTTTTGGGTAGTAGCACAGAGCCGACATCTACTCCGAACAACTCAACGCACAAATCAGTGTACTTCTCGGTACCTATACGTCTGTCTTACAAACAGAACTGGTGGGCGTGAAATCGGCAACAAATCAATACGCATCCTTACTGATAGCAAGTCGGCACTCCTAGCCCTGGACAGCTGCGTGGTTCAACCCGGGATGGTTTGGGAGTGCAGACAAACGCTAAGGTATGTAACGCAGAGGAATAGTGTAGAACTTTGTTGGATCAAAGGACAGAGTAGCAACGAAGGAAACGAGAGGGCAGATGAGATGGCGAAGCGAGCCGCGCGCATGCCCTTCTGGGGACCTGAATCGGCAACTACGCCTTCAGTCGCCCTCTCGAACGAACTCGTAAAGCAATATACCCATAGCATGGCTTCCCATAGACGCCATGAGCAAATATGGACGACCTTGAGCAGCTGTCGGCAGAGTAGAGCTTATATAGCTACACCAGACCGTAAGTTGACGAAATTTTATCTCTCACTTTCAAGGGACAAATTGCGTAAACTGGTAGGACTCGTTATGGGATATTACCAGTTTAACAAACATCTACATACGGTAAAAGTAGTAACAGACCCAATCTGTCGTGGATGCTAGCCTCCTTCAAGAAATTCATATTAGGGGAGATTTGGCCTAGCATGGCAAAAATCATTCAATAGGTTGGGTGGCTTGACGAGTAGAGAAGCGGGAAGACATCCAGATGTGGACCTGGGGAGGCACAATGGGGCCAAAGGCAAGGCCTAAGTGCCGGCTGGCTACGGTCAGCCCCCATATAATTAAAATTCAGAATTACACGAAACTGTTTCATTCACGTGAGAATAAGATAATGTAGCAAGTAGGGCGTTGCTGGATATCCTGCATCCTGTATGTACGAGTAACGTCGTTAATTGACCCGTTTCCTGTAAGATCGTAAAACTTCCATAGTAACTTTCCGTGCGCACGCATCTTCAAAACCACTTTGGAAATAGTATCCGACAGCAGAGCAAATGCCTGTGGCAACAAACCGCTTTTGAAGTTGACAGAATGCAGCCAGAAACACATGAGTAATATGTCGCTCATTGGTTAATTTTAACTTAGCCCTGCAGAAAATCTGACTTCGCCTGCGTGATTTTGTCTCATTCTGTATCATTGGAATTTATGTAATGTTTATTTACTTTGCTTACAGTATAAGAGTCAATTATCGGGCTGTTTTTGCTTGTCGGTTCTCCTCTGGTCACTTTTTGAGGGTTGTTTGAGAAGTGTGATAAATATGCATGATGCGCTGTGACAATCCGCTAAATCGCATTGGAGTTGTCAAGGGTGATCCTTTAGAGAACTGTTGCCAAATTTTAGCTTTAGAGAACATGTGGCACCTGTTTGAGTAGACCACTTTTCCCTTTTTTTTACAAAAATTGAAAAACATGAGTTTCATACGGTGATAAAACACTTTTATTTAAAGAAGTGGACGACGGTGCAGATTAATGCCGAGTTGGATGAAGTTCACGGGGAGTCTGCACCATAGCCGAAAACCATTTGTTTTTGAATAAATGAATTTAAACGTGATCCGACATCCACTTAAAACAAAACGTGTTCCGGGGTTGAACTAACCGCGCACGAAATACTTGACAAAATCCGTGGTACTGTAATACATAGAAGAGCGCTGAGTCTTGGTAAGCGAGATTGCTGAGATTGTGAGCATTTCAACAGAACGAATGCATAATATTTTGCACGAAGAATTCCGCATGAAAGATTTTTATTTGCGATAGGACCGGGATTGACGGGAGATCGAAAACACACACAAAGAACATTTCCATCAGTGTTTGCATCACTTCTTGACAATTGACGAAAATTCGTTACTATACACCAGACTCAAAAAAAATATTCAAAACAGTTGACAAAGTCTAGTGAACGTGTGTAAAAGAATGCGGAAGCAATTTTATTTGATAGCGAGGATTGACCACCGTTTTTTGGGACACTCAAGGAATAATATTAATTCATTGTTTTGAAAAGAGCAAAATAGTAACAGGAACTTATTATACGACATTTTTGAACCGTTTGAAAGAAGTACCGAGGTAAAAACGACCAAGATTGGCGCATTAAAATATGCTTTTTAATCAGGAGAACACGCCACTTCACCAATCGACAGTTGCAATGGCAAAATTGTACGAACTGGCCACTGAAATACCATAACAGATTATTAACTAGAAATGTGCTTTGACATTTTAGTTAATTTTAGCTGTTAAAACGACATTCGAATTTATTTTTACCATTTCGGGTTTAAATTAGCCGAGATTGCGAAAAATAGCGTATATACCACACGGCTTCGTCTCGGGAATTAAACTTTCGCCTTCAGGATTAAATGATGCACTTCAGTCCTATGGTATATAATATATTATTATTTGTAAAAATGTTACACGAATCAAAAATTGTTGCTTCCCTTAATATTTATAAGTAATTATGCAATTAAAACTACAAAAGTACACACATGTGGTTAAGCAAACATCAAAAACTGATAAATGTTTTTTAATTACATTATCTGGAAAAAAACGATTTATTTAAAAAAATCTGCATTATTTAAAAGGTTCAGTAATAAGTCTTTCAGGTTAAGCCAAAATTAAAAATAAAAGTGCATGAGGACGTGGAAATACGTAAAAAGGAATTTAGAAAAACCCATAAACGTTAGTAAAAGCGGAAACAAAAGACGGGTTTTACCATAGTCAGGTAGGAGACAGAAGTTTCAGACACAAGTATTTACGATATATACATACCTTATTAGAAAATATATGTATTTACAAATTGAATTCCGTATTTTAAATTATGAAATAATATTGTGAAACGTGTTTTCCCTACAGTACCCCTTGCTCCTGCTAGTGTTTTTATAAAAAACCGCATTGTAGCCGCTCTGGAAAGCGTACACGTCTCTTTGATCTCGAGGTCTTCGGAATATGCAAGCTGAGGCACCTTGTAGTCGTCAACCGATTGATTCACGAAGGACTCTGGTCCGTCTATAGCGGACGCTGTTCTTGTGGAATAGCTGTGATTCCACGACGTTGACGTACGGAGAGGTGGCAAGATCTTTGAAAATGAAGGTCTTCTTTACTGCATGTCCAGACCTAAAGTTTTGCCATCGCTATTTGGAGGCAAAGGATATTCAGTAATCTCTAATCGTTTAAAGGGTTTTTCCCAGCGGGATAACCGCAAATTGCAATAAACAGTCGTATACATATGGGTTTTTTGGTGGAAGGAGCTATTGCAGTTTGCGGTTATACCGTTGGGAAAGCCCGATTAGAGATTCCTGAAGTTACCTCCAAATGGTGATTATAAAATTTTACCACAGGGTCTGAAGTCACGCACGTGTTGACGTAGCTCTTTTTTACGATATTTACTATGTTGTAAATTGTTTTTGCCGAATGGGATGCTCAGCAACTCACCGGGCAGACATAAAGTTTGTCCATACACCATCTCCATAGAGGATCCCTGGAAGTCTCCTTTCCATGCGGTTCGAATGCTAAGCATGGTGGCACATAAATCACCACTCTCAACTGTCGACATAAAAAAATGTCTAAAAACCATTGGAAGTTCTAAAAAAGCCATATTAAAAAGTCGGGATTGGTAAAGAAGTATACTTCATTTTCGATTTAAAATATACATTTAAGTAAACGGTATACCGTTCAGTAGTTGATTGTTCCACAAAATACCTAAAAGTCATTAATTAAAAAAAAACATGTGATATCAAAAAATGTAACTACATATACATAACAATTTAAAATCTGTATTCACTAGGCATGACTTACTTTCCACGATCATCGTGGTAAGCCTTATTTTGAAGATGTTTTATGGAGTTCATATTGTATGCGAAATAAATTCGATACTTACCTAAATGTAACGTTGCTGTAAATAATTGTGGACAAATTTAAGAAACAGTCTTTAAATAAATATTAGGTTTTATATTTTTTAATATCACATTTTATGGAATCACTTAAAGATCAATTTGAAATTTCCTATGTCTATTTGTTAAGTAGTTTATTTTAATGGTTTGAGTTTAACATCATTCATTTTAGTAAAGGAAAATTTATTATAGAACATTTACATTTATTTTTATTTTATTTACTGAAATATATATACGGATTACATTGATAACATTTATACTGTTTCTATATTATTGACTTGTTTAAATATAATTTTTATTGCAATCTTATTTACATTCGTTTAATTAATAATTACAAAATTATACATAAAAATAAAACAAAACATTGAAATACGTAAGAACATAATTATGTACTAACTTCTAAACCAAAATGCAACTAAAATATTCAGCTAAATGTATATAAATATTTTTATATATTGCATTATAATATTTAAACTGTAAACATTCAAAATATTGCTTAATTAAACATTTAATCGTAGTAATAACAAAATTAGAGTATTAATATACGAATATGGAACATTTTTTAAAACACGAATAAATTCAATATGTCAAATTAGTATTGAATTATTAGATACACTGAATTCATTCGAATAATTTCTGAAAAGTGTTCCACGTCATCAATTAATTCTTGAAAGTAAAAAAACCCATTTGTGTAACCAAGGTATGACACATGAAAAAGTGATAAAATGTGTAAAGTTCAGTTTTATCAAACTATATATTTACCTACCGTATATTTCATTTTCATTAATATATCTGATCAGTTTCTAAAAATTTGTGTTATTTCGTTTGCTAAAATTGAATTAAATTAGTGGTCTTCTCATAAAGTGATAGATATAGTAATATTTTTGTTAAATTAGGTAGGTACGTCCACTTTTCATCGTGACTTTACAGTTGTAATTTCTAAAAGTGGATTCTTTGATATGGCCATAACATCGTCTTCAAAACTTCCTACACAAATGAGTTTTGAACTGTCAAGAACTTTAGTTAAGGAGTCTGTTCTTAAAGTAGAAAGTATTTTTTAAAATAAAATGAACGGTTATTTCAAAATTTTTGCATATTATTGCACTTTTCAAAGTCTGTTAACAACATAAAGTATTTAGATTAAGATGTCTGAAACAAACTCCTTTATTAAGTTGAATTCAGTGGTCATTAGAAATTTTCAATGTATTATGTACTTAAATAGCTATTACGTATGTTAGTAATATTTATTTCAGCTATGGAATTTTATTTATGACGATTAACTTCGATTTACATTCGTAAATATTTAAATTTATTTGAAAAATGCAGTCTTGTGAGCATAACTATGCAGATAAAAATTTAATTCTACTTTCATTTCTCCTTGTTACAAGTGAAATAGTTGGGGTTTATTGGCGGATACTCAATTACCTCTGCTTGAGAAAAATCTCTTTCGAGTAACAAAAATATACATTTCAAATTTCTTATGACCTTTTTACATATTGACATAATTTATAGCGTGAAAACATCAACAATAACAGCAACAACATTATAGCAACAACAATGTAAACTAACAGAAAGTCATATAGTTTACATTTGATTTGATAAAATATTTTTACTACAGTATCCAGTCCATAAGATATACATATAAAAATTGTAACCTATACAACATTCAGTCAGTTTAACTTTATAACGGTCGAGTTTTGCGACTGACTATCTACAGTATGAATAAATATTTCGATCTATACTATTTCTGACGAGTGATGAATTTATCCGGCACAAAGTATGTATTTATTTATAATCATGTTACTTATGTAGGTCACTGATACTATTTAACAATGCACCAAATTCATAAGAGTTTATTTTTTCAGGCAATGATGACAGTACCAACGTACTCAGAAATTATTTGGTGTTGTTCATCTCGATTTTCTTCTTAGATCACAGTACAGTTTCCATTTCCGCTATTTCTGTTTTCTGACTGTAACACAGAACAAATTAAATTTGAAATTTTTGCATACTTTACAACACTACATCCAAACATTGTATCATGGAAGACAGAAATTTAAAATTTAGAACAGTTAATTAGCACAAAGAAATTTATGAAATAATTGCATTATCATATTATCAATATTTCATTACCGTTGGGTTTTTACGAAATTATTGTAACTTTTTCTTTTGAATATAATAATGATTTTCGGTAGGTTCCGTCTAGTTTCAGTTGCTTTCGCCTTTCAAACAATAATTTAAATTAGTGTTTTCAACATTTCTGTTTTATGTTTTTTTGCAGGCCGTAGACATTCGCTTACTATATTTAGTTGAATTTATTTGTGTCAATGTGTTTTTGTCAACTTGTTGTACATGCATTATAAAATTAATATTATAAATAAATAAATAAGTAAATAAGTAAATACATAAATAAATAAATAAATAAATAAATAAATAAATAAATAAATAAATAAATAAATAAATAAATAAATAAATAAATAAATAAATAAATAAATAAATAAATAAATAAATAAATAAATAAACAAATATAGTTGATTTCAGAACTACTTGTAGAAATTTTTAAGCTTAGTAATTAAAGCAAGTTTCCCTACTATACAATTTACATTTTTCAAAAGCGTCAATAAAATGCATCAGGAGCTTTGAGACTGTTCCGTGAAAGGTATCAGTAAAGACTGGAGTATGGACGAAACGTTTTTTGAAGTTTAGTCACGATGCTAAAAGAAAAGATTCTTTGAAATGCAGAGAAAAAACGTACAACTTTCTTTATGAAGACAATAAAGCTACGATGCTAAAAGTCACCGTAAAATTAGCATACTCGTATAAGGAGTAATAATTACATTATTCAAAAACTAAAATCAGCTGAAATTTGAAAGGAAGAATTTTTAAAATGCGCGAGTTTCAACTAATTATCACTTCATCGTATAAATAAATGAATGTCAATAATTTTAAAAATTACCCCCCGAACATATACTAATATTCGCTTTCTTCATGGATGAATATAGTTTTAAAACTATATATTGCTGGACCCTTTGAGTTCACACTGGATGTGAGACAATTATAGGCAATAAAAATAAAACTATGCAAAACTAGTAAAATTACTGACATTATGAATACTGATTTATCTTACATTGAAATGATACATTTCACAAATTACCAACTGGTAACCAATATGCCCCAAAGCATAACTACATATTTATTGAAAAGTTTCAATGCTTGCAGATTACTGCTTTTGGATATTCCGAATCACTTTACTAGAAAAATAAGTACATATTTTCAACAAAAATTGATGTAAAATCCATAGTGTTATTTAATTTTGAAGAAAAAGATTCAGTGATTTTTCTGCTGCCTGAAGTGACCCGGATGTTCACAACGCCCATTTTTTAGAAAATAATTTAAATGAGTTATTTAAAATTACTTAATTTGACGTAACACAAGATGCTACCTTCAAAACAATAAGACAACTATTTTTTTGTGTGTTATTTTAACGTGAAAAGTAAAAGAATATTGAATTGCCTTTCCATCAATTAGGTCGTATTCCACTCACCAACGTTAACTGCTCCTGAAAACTTTGAGATTGCAATCAATTTTGATTACTAGTTTCTACTGATTGTCCTGCAAACGAACTAGAAACCAATTTATACATCAAACTACCCAATGTTATTTCTGTCGAACGGAAACCACTGCAGTGAAATTCATTTGAATTGTGGTCGACGAATATTTCTGCGTTGAAACTAATAATTTTTAAAATATGATTTAATTTACTAGTATAGGTACGTATAAATATTTGTTTTAGATGACAGCGTGGTTTTCGTTTTCAGATCAAAGACAAAAAATTACTTGAATGTAAAAACAGTAGTAAAAATTTTATATCTGGAAAGGGTTATTTTCCACGACTAATTAAAAAAAAACCTATAGTGATTCCTTGAAAATCTTGATTTCTAACTAGTCCGGTCAAATTAGACATTCGGTGCTACATAAATTCGCAACAAGCTGAATTTTGGTACAATTGTTCAAAATACAATTATAAACAAAACCTGAAAGTTCCCCATCATTCCCGTGTAAGGAAAAATTTTTATTCAAGGTCAAATGTCAAAAAAATGAGTTTTTCGCGATTCTCAGCAAAACGGTAAGTTTTATCATAAAAATACCTCAGACTAAAATTATAGATCATAAAATTATCTATAAAAAATGTATTTATACTTTTTTTCCTACGAGCCACCGTCTCCGAGAGATAGCGGTGCACAAAGTTGTAACGGTTGTAATCGTCAAAACATGCATGAGTATGCCACGTATATTCATCTCTAGAGTTGTAATATTATATAGTATAGGGTAAAATACTACATACACTACTTCAGCTTGCTTTAACAATTACAATATTAAAAGACGTTGAAATTGATGACATCTTGAATGCAGATCTAATCATAAATATCGAGCGTATATTAGAAAACACTTTTTCATACAACGCAAAACCTACATCTGTCTTCATAGCTTTCATCATAGACTGTTCGATTACCATATCTGTTGAAGTTCTACAACTTAATTTGTCTGAATGTCTAACTGTGAAAAATCCTTCCGAAAAATTTGCTTAAACTTCAGGATCAATCAAACTTTGTTGTATGAAAAAGTGTTTCCTAATATACGCTCGATATTTATGATTAGATCTGCATTCAAGATGTCATCAATTTCAACGTCTTTTAATATTGTAATTGCTAAAGCAAGCTGAAGTAGTGTATGTAGTATTTTACCCTATACTATATAATACTACAACTCTAGAGATGAAAATACGTGGCGTACTCATGCATGTTATGACGATTACAACTGTTATAACTTTTTGCACCGCTATATCTCGGAGACGGTGGCTCGTAGGAAAAAAAGTATAAATACATTTTTTATAGATAATTTTATGATCTATAATTTTAGTCTGAGGTATTTTTATGATAAAACTTACCGTTTTGCTGAAAATCGCGAAAAACTCATTTTTTTGACATTTGACCTTGAATAAAAATTTTTCCATACACGGGAATGATGGGGAACTTTCAGGTTTTGTTTATAATTGTACTTTGAACAATTGTACCAAAATTCAGCTTGTTGCGAATTTATGTAATTTCACCCCAATTTTTTGGTCTAATTTGACCGGACTAAACGACATCAATCGCGCTTGAAAGTATGGAGTTGTACTAAGTTCTCAGAAATATGTAGTTTTAAATCTCAAACTAGCCATAATTAGTATTCGATGTAGGTTGTTTACTTAATTTTTTTGTATGGCAATAACTAACAATAAGATTTTTGCTTTAGCCGCAGGCTTCGACACATATGTACATATTTAATCCTTTTCTAAAAATCGTAGAAAAATGATTTATTCAAAATTGCTTCTATGAAGGAAAATATTCAATTTTATATACCTATATATTTTTTTATTCTGCATAGTGGTTAATGGTAACTTAAAAAGTGAAAAGTCAGGCAATAATATAACAGTTGTAAAAATAATAGAATTTTTAACTCTTAAATTAGCGAATATTATACATAAATATTCTCCTTAATTATAACCAGTGCAGATGATATTTATTAGTAATGTTATGAAATATTTTTAGTAAAGTACATTATTTAATCTATATGTACTGTTTTGTACTAAAATATTTAACTCAAAGTAATTCTGTCAGCCCCGGTTTTGCGACAGATTTAGTTTATAGTGTTTCAAGTTTTAAGTTTTTGAATACCAATCATTAGTATTCTATTTACGACTTTTTTTACCATAACTTCTTTGTTTCAATATTAATAAGATATAAGTTGCCATAGTGGTTTTTATAATATAGAGTAACTGAGATCAATTGTATGCTTCCTTCAATCGGAATTGTGTAACACAAGGAAATTTTAAAAACAAAGAATCCCTACAAGTAATTAACAAAAATTTAATTCTGTTTTAAGGCTACTTTCATCTGAGTCAAGGTGAACTGCTCATGGGTTATAGCATGCATCAAAATTTATTAAATAAAGATTTTTGTTGATACTAGTGATTAAACATTCATGAGTGTTTAGTCATGTGATAAACATTAAACTCTTAATAATTACTGGAAACTCCGGATTTATCTTTTTTTCTTCCACAAGATCTTTTTTTTGGTTTTTTACCTCAAAAAAATATTTTGTTTCTGATTAGTGTACGTTGTAATCTCAAACTTCACCGTCTGTTATGTACTTGAGAAATTCTGGTTCGTCAGTCTTTCCATCTTTTGGGTAATTATCTTTGAGGTTTAATTTAACTATCTTTTTCAGTCTGTAATAGTGTGTCCCTTAGATTTGAAAATTCCATTTGCGTCTTATTATCATCCTACAACATCTTGAAATTTGCGTTTTGACTTATTTTTTAGTTTCTTGTTCTCTCACATTGTGTACCTACATAATGTACTGCAGACCTCAAAGTTCTGTATTTGTGTTTTCTGTTTCTGTAGATACGTTGTTGAAGCATCAACGTTTCATAAGTTCGCAGCTTGTTTTCGTCTAATACACAATACTGATTCTTCATACTTAGCGTATTCGTTTGTGTTGTTTTTACGGTAAGATGTGTTAGTCTCAAAACGTTAGGCCATAGTACATAGAAGACTACATATGGAAGTAGTTTGGTATCATGAAATGAGTCGATTCGTCATATAAATTCGTAGCCATTAAGTAAGTCCCCAGTGTTAAAGCTTTCTGTCAAAAAATCCAAAAAGATATCAGAATCAAATGTAAAACCTCTCAATTAATTTTCCTATTATTTGAACATTATTTCCTTTACTACAGACTTTGAATTGTTTTCAATACAATTTGATTACGCTCAAATTTCTTGAAAGAACGATGGCGAAGTTAAAAAACGTTGTGGTGAGGTTTGAATATTTGAAATTTTTATAGAACCCCGAAATAAAGAAGTCTTCTGGTACAGATTATGCATTGAGTAAACGTGGATAAATAGCAAAATACATTAATATACAATTATGTTAGCATTGCAAGACAACGAAAAGTGCCGTAACTGCAACTATTTAAGAAAAAAATATTTATTCATCTATGAAATAAATTTGAATTTTGTGTGGTCATATATTTTATACCAGACGAGTTGTTCATGTAAAAATAATATCCTTACCCAAATAAATCAGAGTTGCTGCCTTTATCTGGATTCAAACTTCTTAACCTAGACCTTGCTTGTTCTCCGGAAACGATAACACTGAAAATAAGAAATAATAATTACAAAGTGTCTCTAAATTAGTTTTGGCTAAAATGAAGCAGTCAACTAATGAAAATATTTAGTTATGAATAGTGGAAGATGTTGCCGCTGTCGACATCACAAACAGTGGAATGACTGATTGATTACTGATTCGGGTTACAATTGTTGCATGAGTTATGTTACACGTTGAAATTATACTACACTATAATAATAATAAAGGACAGGAGTGTGTGTCGATGTCCGTGCAGTGCAAAACGTGCCGAAGAGCACGGAAGAAAAGTACTTACTAACTGTAGTCCATATATAAATGTAAATGTATATAGTAGCCTGCATAGATATTGTAGCCGTCCATAGAGTCGAAATTTGCGAATAAAAATAAAATAAAACCGGTTCAAACGGAGCCGACGGTGGCTTGCAAAGTCTGACATCACTCTGGCACACGTTGCACAGAGACGTATTTAATATTAAATGTCATTTTTTCCGTTATGATATAATCTGTTTAATTTCTGAGCTGGATCTCGTCAGTAAAATCGAAGCTCTGTTCACTGTACACAAGTTGTGGTATGATATATTCATCGTTGCGGAGGCAGGTGGAGCGAAAAACCTAGTCATCTTAGCAGCAAACACGCCTATAAACTAGTCCACGTGGACTGTTTGTTTCCTGTCATATTTTAGTTTGCTTGAACCAATTGTGTTGCACCAAACGGTTATTACACTTGTTGAAATAAATTTTCAAACTTCCATCTTTCTCTAGATCATCGGTTTCGTAGCTGTGTGACAAATCGTTTGTCGTAGATAGAAAATAGTAAGATTACAGTGACCCTAAGATTTTGTGCAAACAGCCTTAAATACACCCCTGTGTGATCCGACGCGTGCCGTAGTGACAGAACTTGCAAGCCGTCGTCGGCTCCGTTTGAGCCGGTTTTATTTTATTTTTAATTGCAAATTTCGACTCTATGGACGGCTACAATATCTATGCAGGCTACTATAAATATAATACAATTTCTGAGGAAAACACATATGCAATATGCATGTACTTATATGAAAGGTGCAAGGTGCAAATATATCTTACGTCTTACCGACGTTCATTTCTTTAGAGAGAAACTATTTCTCTAGAAAGGAATGAAACTGTCCCTGAGGACTGTGTACTAAGTATTTTATCCACAGTCCAGTCGCCCGATGAACTCGATTACAATATTTCAGCAGCTTATGCTCGGGAAGTAATAGTATTTATGTTATAAGTGGGAGGAATGCTATATTATAAGCGAGTGAGAATCTATGATCACGAGCACGTTATTGCGAGTAATACTGTCTCACCGGCTTATAATCGCATTTTGGTCACCTATGAAACATATGATATACGACGTTTTATCTTACAGTAACGGCTTTTACGTAAAAGTAAGAATAACATGATTCCAAATAGAAAGTTCATTTAATTTAAAAAATTGTATCGTCATAAGATGTGTTAGTAGTATCCATAATTACATTACAATACATCACTTGCAAACATTTTACCTCATTTGTTAATAGTGTTAAATTTATGTCTCGTAAAACAGTTGCATAAACTACCGGAAAACCTACCCCTATATGATAAAGCTACAGGATTTTTATAAATGATTCTAATAAGGGCGTAGTTGGTCATAGATTTCAAAAATCCCGCTTCACTGAAATTATGCCTCATTATGAGAGTTCTCATTTGTCATTAATGTCATTTGTAACCTGCCACTTAAAGTCGTCGTTTTTATTGTTTTAACATTTTGTGGTGACCGAATTTGAATCAAATTGTCGCGCTGAAATTAATTAACAGCGGCGCGACATCACATTTGAATAATTTGAATTTGAGAAAAAAATGCAAACAAAAAAATCGTTAAACATAGGCTTTGTGCACCTTTAGTTCTTTTCCTGATAGTTGGTAGCTCGCTAGGGGGTTTTAGTTAGAGAGTTGGTTATGAGAGCGGCATGTTGAAAGCATGGCGAAGGTCATTATGTTTTTGTTCAGTATAGTGGATGCATGGTGAAAAGACGCTGTAAGGAGCTAGGTTAAATTAGTTGGTTTGGTGGTTAATGAAAGGGAGGAAGCTTATCTTTAACGTAAATCAATTTTCAATTTTGCTAGAAGATTTCATCAAATTCACTTAGTCAGTTTAATTACGAATGAGGTTTCTGGATGCATATACGTAAGTGTTACATTATAACACTTCTTAATTCTTCACACAAGATTGCTAATACTTTATTTACGGCAGTTAAATGAACTAATTCATACTGTGAACTGACGGGGGTTAAAATAATTTCTTCCCTTAGGCAGCCATCATTGTTATTATCATCGTTATCATCATTACACCACCGAGGCATGTCCTCGCAACGCTAAAGATTGATTACATCACCAAGGCATGTCCTCGCAACCATAGAGATTGATAACATTAACGAGGTATTTCCTCGCAACGTTAAAATTTATATCACCGAGACGCTTATTGATGAATGTTTCTATCGTATAAATTATCTGATGTCCAATTTTAATTGCACATAAGAATTATTTGTTGTTTAAAATTTCACAAGATTGAATGGCGAATTTAAATGTTATTTATTGCTCTTTTTGAAACTTTAACAGTTGTTCAGTTCTCGTTAATATCAGAATCATAGGAGTTGAACATTTAAAACGGAATTGAGGTTAAATAACACAGAAAACGTGGCAGAACTGGAGTGTGGTTCCTAGTCGGGCTGGTGAGATTTATCGCGTCACCTGCACAAGAGATGAAGGTTTGTATACAGTCAGGGGCGATCGCGATGTTGTAACGCTGTCGGCTTCCACCCCATAGCCGAGACCCAACTGCGAATGCGACCGTAACGGCCTGCAAGTACGGCATGTCCGTGATCGAGATGCTTTGCGGTAGGCTTGCGATAGATAGAATCACCGTCGTGTGGGGGGGGGGAGTGGGGGAGAACAGCCCCAATCGGTAGTCCCAAACCATGAGTATTTTTGTTGTGGTCTTGTTGACTGCCATAATTTTAAATTTGCCGCCACACGCCCGTAATAACTTGTGTATTTGCATCCAGTTACTTTAATTCAGATTTTGCTTTGTTTTTATTAAATTTGTGATATTCAGATATTTGCATTGATTCGAAAACATAAACGTAGGGTTTTGCACTTGTTCGGTTTCCCATATACGTATGTCTGTCAACTCGTGGTTGTCTCTTTCCTTCGTAATTTTATGTGTTTCATTTGCGGTGTATTATATATGGGTGAATAAAGCCGTAGGGGGTTTTTGGAGCTGAAAAGTGATTGCGATTCGACCCAATGGGCCAGCCTGAGGGCACGTCACGAGTCGCCCCCGCCCGCAGCTTCTTTTCCTCCTAGAAAGGGGTGCGATTTTTAGCCCCCTCCCAAAAATTTTGTCTATTATTTCTTGCGCTCTGGACTCACACGCAGTGGATGCTCACTTGTATGAAAGAACGTCTTCCCGCCATTAAAAAAAAAAAACACAAGGTAGGTTCCTTTTGTTAGACGATCACAGCCAAGGCCAAATTTTTTCATTTTTTTTTCAAGTGTCAATTTAAAGGTGGGAAGTTTGGGTTATCACAATTTTTCAAATGTGAATTATTGTAATTTTCGTTGATCCAAGCTCAAAACAACAAAACTCTTCGTGGTTGCGTACGAAAATTTTGTTTTTGTGTTAGGAAGCCAAGCCTCTGAAAATGGTGTCTTCTGTTGAACAAAACACTTTCATTGCTATGTCTTGTTATCGCAATCTGACTTCGGAAACGGAGAGTGGGTGTATTCTGTAACCGCTGTCAAGTAAGAGTATCTGGCCAAATACAGTGATTTAATAATTTAAGAAACATCGTTAGAGGCTCACATTAGAGATGTAAATAACAGATTTGTTCGAACTGGCAGTGTCAACAAAAGGAAATCTCGTGGAAGATCTTTAGTATTTGAGGAAGTTGTTGATGATTTGAGACGACTTGAGCAGAATTTGCAAACATCTTTGACAACATTTCTTTGGCAGTGAGGAGTTCTTGTTGCCACATGAAATTGAACAATGAGTCCAAAGTATTGACGAAAGGACGTTATATAACATGATTTGAAATTAAAAGAAAGTAAACATGTGCCTTGAACAAAATTGTGAACATTTTCAACATTTACTATGCTCTTAAAACCGCAATAAATCTGATTAATGAATTAGTTTTATTTTTAAATAAGATATGAAGCATGTAAGCAACCAGTTATACAGATGCGTGTAGTATTTGTCGTCCTTGAGCATTTATTTAAGTCCACATAAAGTGATAGGCGACACGCTTCCATGATCTATTTCAACCCAGAATTATTTATAGAAACCTTGTAGATTTTTAAATCACTCACAAAAAAATAATTAAAAAAAAAACAGCTTTGGGGACATAAACGTCTGGCTTATCAAGATTTTCATTTATTTTTAGCAGTTTTCGTAGAATGCAAGTTGTTTACAATTTTCACTGAAAGGTTTACTGCGACACCAAATCGTGCCCGACACAAACTTGATTTTTTTGGTTCAATTTTTGTAAAATTAAATTTTTAATTCATTGAAGTGCTATTTCATCAAAATTGAATAATATATTGCATACAAGAGGACCCGGGGTGGGCTAGTTAGCATCATGCTTGCCCGCTACACCTTGGGTCGTGGGTTCGATTCCCGCCATGGCTCTGGGTGTAACGTGTATGTCCCGTTCCCCTGTAATTGGGCCTCAGTGCCTGTTGGGGGACGTAATTAATAAAATAAAATAAAAAATAAAAAAATAAAAATACAACCACGCGAGTTTAACCATATTATTCACTCGAAGGACTAGTCTACTCGCTCTGCAGTTAAACGTTCTTCTCGATGAATAAAAATGTGCTTAACTCATTTGGTGTATAAATAAGTATTAAATATACAGTTTTTTTATTTTAAATTTACCGGTGTAAAAAAAGCAACAATTTAAATGAATACGAAAACGGGGAAAATTTAAACTTATCACGAGCAGGAGTTCAA